TGGCTCATGACTCATCAATTATTTAATTTATCAATCTTTTATTATGTTGCGATGGCTTATATTACATATGATCGAACGAACATTACTGATAGTGGCTATGCAATAATTTCGACCAATGTTTTTTCTATATAACCAATAAAATGAATCCACATAAGTAAAAATATACTATTTTTTTAATTTAATAATGGCGATAAGGGTCTCGATGACAAAATCATTTCTGATGTTAACCGATTATCGTTTACGTTAATATATATATATGCAATAGGAGTACGTGTAATGATGTGCAAGTCAATCAGTCAATCAGTTTAGTAATTTTTAGTATAAGTGGCAACACTATTTGGTTTATCAATTCATATATATCCAGTGCAAACTATAAATTATCTGTAAGAAAAAAATTTTTTTAACTACACAGAACTCTTTTTCTGCAAAATAATAAAAAAAGAAAAAAAAAAAGAAAACAAAAAGGCTGCTTACTAAATCTTTGTCGATACAAAGGATGTCTCCGTCATTATATAGGAATCGAAATGTAGCCGGTTGGAAAGACTTTCGTAAGTTTTCGGGGTTAGAACAAATTCAAAAGGCATATGCTTCTGGGGATTATGCAACCGCGATCGAGATTTTAAACTCATTATTGAATGCTGGCCAAAATTCTAACGGTGAACCTGGAGTTTCACACGAACACGTCCTCTTAGCCCGAGCAATGTGTTTTCAACAACTTCGTGAATTTGAACATGTTCTCGCTGATACTGTGGAGGTTGTCAGGGCGGTCAGTCTACCAAATAATTCTTCTCAGTCAAACGGATCTTTAAACGGACTTAGTGACAATTATCAGTCTATTGACCAATACATTTGTTGTCTATGGGCGCTTTGGCTTCGAAGTCTGGCATTTGAAGCTCTTGAAAAGTGGGAGCAGGCTAAAAATGATCTTGAATTATTAAAGACATTAATCCTTGGAAAACCTATAAAGGGTATCATGTCTGGCTCAGATGGTGTCTTTTCTTCACTTATACCTAGTATGGATCCATTGATCGTCCTATCAAAATCTTCTCTTCCTACTATTAATACGCACTGTGTCGTCGATCGCCTTCGTCGAATCTCTGATATAGTTGCGAAAGAAAATTCGCGTCGTAATAGTGTAACTGAGGCGTTCCGTTTGATTGACGATGACTCGAGTGCTTATAGCGACTTAGCAAAAAAATTTCATTATCGTCTACTTCTCAGGCGACCATTACATCCATATATTCATTTAAATATGTGGTATACAATGGATCTTATGTTTGTTAGCGAAATGGGTTTATTCAAAAGGGAGGATATGTACGGTGTGGAGGGTTATTCTCTGGGAATCAAGATGTTGGAAATTGGAAACGATGATGCAATTGACGAATTTGAAGTCCAGGTCAGACCAATGAGTCCTGAAGCATGTGAATGGAGTGGCTTGACTTCCACCGATTGGGCTGGAGTGCAAAGTGGCGGTAAAGGTGGATTGGAATTTCGTATTGTTCCCGCTAATTCTCGTTCCAATGCTTCCGAAAATGGATCCGATGCAAATAATGCGTCTATATCTAAGGGCAGAAATAAAAAGAATAAGTTATATTCTAATAATATCCAAAGGTTCTTATATGTATATCCAATAATGAAGATTTTATCTAATAATAATAATAGCAACCACCATTATGATGACGATAGCAATAACATGTTCACCAATAGAACAAAAACAGATTATCACGTGAATGAGCATCTACTTGTTCCTTTGGCCATTGGCCCGATTGATTTGATGGACTGTCATTGGCACTCTGATTCCTGTGCTCATCATCATACGGCCAGTGGTATCTCTTGTATTTCGGCAGAATCTCAAACTGTCGTTTCAACGAATGATCCTAAATTACAAATTTCTTCATCTTTGTGGAGCTCTTCTCATTCTTGGTCGTCTTCGTCACAATGTCCACCTCAATCCCCTATGAAAACAAAATGTCTTTGGAGTACTGATGAATACATTATTCATAGTTATCGAGCATTTTTCCTCCCAAAAGGCAAACATTTGATTATTAAAGAATTGTGGGATGTTGGCATTCCTGGAAAAGTGTGGGATTCTGCGTTTGTAATGGTTAAAATGATTAGGGACATGATTCTTAAAGACCTAAAATTGTTTTATGGTAAAAGAATTTTGGATTTATCAACAGGGACTGGTTTTGTCGGTCTTTATTTGGCTGCCTTCATGACCAGTCTGAAAAAGATAGGAATAAAGAGTGGTGTAAAGACACATGTTATCTTGACCGACTTGGATCATGCGTTAAACCTTATCCGTGACAACTATTCCCTGAACAAGGATGTCTTGGAAATGATCAACAATGTATCGATCGAAATTAGGTCTTTGAAATGGGGTGACACGTCGAAAGCCGAACAGCTGGATGTTATTGATTATGTGCTTGCTTCCGACGTTGTTTACGAACCTGGTAGGAAACTGTCGATGATAATTATTGACTTTATGTGTGTATTAATGATAATTGATCTCTAACTGCACCGCTATTTCTCTTTATTTCTCTTATAGATTTATTTGACTCTTTAATACAAACGCTAGTTACCGTATGTACTCCCGGACACACAAAGATATTCCTCGGTTATAAAAGACGAGGATTGACTAAGGAAGAGGAAACAAGTTTCTTTAGTAAACTGCAGTCCATGTTTAGAATGTCTTTACTTCCGGACCTGGAAAATGTTGCGGACGAAAGCCAGATCTATATCTACGAATTGTGCAGATGATTTTATATATGGTAGGACCATTGGAAATTTGAGGCGAATTGTCGTATTCGGTACACTATCCTTTTCTCACGGTCTTCATTTT